TGTGGCAGCTCCCCACCCCAGCTCACCTCTGCTCCGCCTCCTCCCCGAGCACGCCGCCCCCGCTCTAATTCTCCTCCCCTCCCAGGCTTGCGGCGCCAAACAGCTGATTGACGCTGCAAGCCTGGGAGGCGGGAAAAGTGGAGCGGCAACAACGCGCTCGGGGAGGGGGCGTAGGAACGATGTAAAAAAAAATTGGAGGCACCGCTTTTTGGCTCCCCCAAATCTTGGCACCCTAGGCAACCGCCTACTTTGCCTAAATGGTAGCACTGGCCCTGCCAGGACCACAGGAGCCCCCACTGCTGGGGAGAGGTGCCTCTCACCTGGCCCTGAGCTGCTGCGGTGAGAGAGGGCTGGGGGAGTCCTTTCCCCACCGGAGTCTGCACCCCAAACCCCTCATCCCCAGCCCCCCCATAGCCCGCACGCCTAGCCAGAGCCTTCACCCCCTGCACCCAACCCTTTGCCCAGCCTTGAGCCCACCCCACAGCAGGGGCTGGGGAGGATGGGGGGTGGGGACAAGTGTCTACAGTGAAGGTGGGACCTGGTCCAAGTGTCCTTCTCCTCATCTCCACGGCAGGGGGATCCCGGCTGGGAGGGGAAGGGAGAGGGGGGAACTTCAGCCAGGCAGAGGGAGCGGCTGGAGGAGTTTCTCTCTCTCCCTTCCCCAACCTGTTGCCCATCAGCTCAGCAGCCAGGGCTGCAGCAGGGAGGAGGGGCTGATCGGGGCTTCTCCTCCTCTGCCTGGGGTTTGCTTAGACCAGGCAGAGCCAGTGGGTCACTGACCAGCTGATGCTCAGCTGCTACCGGATCCTCACCCCAGCGACGGGTAGGTGGCTCCTTGGGCAGGGCTGCCCAAAGGGGGGGGGCAAGTGGGGTAATTTGCCCCAGGCCCCGCAGGGCCTCCACAAGAATATAGTATTCTATAGTATTGAAACTTTTTTTTTATGGAAGGGGCCCCCGATACTGCTTTCCCCCAGACCTCCTGAATCCTCTGGGCAGCCCTGTCCTTGGGAGCCAAAAGCCCCTGACGTGTGTGGGAACGAGGAAATGGGGTTGTTCCTATGGCCTAGTCAGGACCCTGAGAGAATTTCCCTGCTGTGTGGAGGAGTCTCTGATGTCCAACATGGTGTTAGCTCCACTTGGAGCATTTTCCACAATGAGAACATCTCAGCGGTTTCTTCCCTGTGCGGATTTCTGGATGCTTGATACTCCGGGAGCACCTAGTGAAGCTTCCCCCACATTGAAGGCCTCTCTGCTGTGTGGGCCACTGATGTGTGAAGTCTAATTGAATCTTTTTCTGCAGTCAGGCTACTCCTAGGCTCTCTCATACCTCCGTGGATTCTCTGTTACTGAAGCTTTTCCGACATGCCAAGCATTTATAAAGTCTCTCTCCTATGTGGCTTGCCTGATGTGTAACAAGGCCTGATCTGAGGGTAGGTCTACAGTACGAAATTAATTTGAATTTATTCTATTCGAATTTTGGGAAGCAATTTTATACATTCGGTGTTGTGTGCCATTAAAGCGCGTGAATTCGGCGGAGTGCGTCCACAGTACCGAGGCTAGCATCGAATGTCGGAGCGGTGCACTATGGGAAGCTATCCCACAGTTCCTGCAGTCCCCGCCGCCCATTGGAATTGTGGGTTAACCTCCCAGTGCATGATGGGGCAAAAACATTCTCACGGGTGTTTCTGAGTGTGTGTCGTCACTCGCTCCTCCCTCCGTGAAAGCTACGGCAGACGCCATACTGCCAGCAGGCGGTGCACCGCCTGTCTCCTGGTACTATGAATCCACCTCGCATGTCCTCTCGTCTTTCTATCTACTCTTTTATCTAACCATTTCCCTCCTTTTTTCGGCTACCGTGAACCGAGCAGCACAGCTTCCGCCGCAAACTCTGCTCTCCCGCTCTTGCATCGCTAGCTAATTCTTCCATGTTGTCTGTCCTGGGCTCGCATGCAAGCTACCAAAGGCAACAATTCCCCGCCATCGTGAACTGAGCCGCACAGCTTCCGCCGCAAACTCTGCTCACGCTTCCGTGGCAAACTCTGCTCTCCTGCTCTTGCAGCTCTAGCGAGCTTCCCGAACCTGTGAAAGCTACAGAAGACAAACATTTACCGCCTTTTATCAGCCATCTTGAACCGAACAGCTCTCCTACGTTTTGCGCCCTTTTTCCAGGATTATCCATGCAGGCACCATAGAGCAGCAATCATGGAGCCTGTTCAGATCTCCGCTGCAGTTTTGACCATTGTAAATACCTCGCGCATTATCCAGCAGTATGTGCAATACCTGCAAAACCGGGTGAGTGTGATTACTATACTGATGAGGACATGGACACAGACGTTCCTAGAAGCATGGCATGTGGCAATTGGGAGATCATGGTGGCACTGGGCCAGGTTCATCCCGTGGAACGCCGATTCTGGGCCCGGGAAACAAGCACAGAGTGGTGGGACCGCATAGTGTTGCAGGTCTGGGATGATTTCCAGTGGCTGTGAAACTTTCGTATGTGTAGGGCCACTTTCATGGAACTTTGTGACTTGCTTTCCCCTGCCCTGAAGCGCAAAGACACCAAAATGAGAGAAGCCCTCACAGCTGAGAAGCAAGAGGCCATAGCACAGTGGAAGCTTGCAACGGGGGTTCCAAAGAGGATGGATCTAGACTGTTCTCAGTGGTAGCAGATGACAGAACAAGGAGTAATGGTCTCAAGTTGCAGTGGGGGAGGTTTAGGTTGGATATTAGAAAAAACTTTTTCACTAGGAGGGTGGTGAAGCACTGGAATGGGTTACCTAGGGAGGTGGTAGAATCTCCTTCCTTAGAGGTTTTTAAGGTCAGGCTTGACAAAGCCCTGGCTAGGATGATTTAGTTGGGGATTGGTCCTGCTCTGAGCAGGGGGTTGGACTAGATGACCTCCTGAGGTCCCTTCCAACCCTGATATTCTATGATTCTATGAACGACCGACAGCTACCGGTCAGTCAGGAATCAGTTTGGAGTGGGCAAATCTACTGTAGGGGCTGCTGTGCTGCAAGTAGCCAACGCAATCATTCACCAAGTGCTATCAAGGGTAGTGACTTTAGGAAATGTGCAGACCATTGTGGATGGCTTTAATGCCCTGGGGTTCCCTAACTGTGGTGGGGCAATAGACGGAACGCATATCCCTATCTTGGCCCCGGCCCACTGGGGCGGCCAGCACATAAACCACCAGGGGTACTTTTCCATGGTGCTGCAAGCACTGGTGGATCACAAGGGACATTTCACCGACATCAATGTGGGATGGCCGGGAAAGGTGCATGACGCTCGCATCTTTAGGAACTTTGGTCTGTTTAAACAGCTTCAGGAAGGGACTTACTTCCCAGACCAGAAAATCACTGTTGGGGATGTTGAAATGCCTATAGTTATCCTCGGGGACCCAGCCTACCCCTTAATGCCATGGCTCATGAAGCCGTACACAGGCACCCTGGACAGTAGTAAGGAGCAGTTCGACTATAGGCTGAGCAAGTGCAGAATGGTGGTAGAATGTGCCTTTGGACGTTTGAAAGTGCGCTGGTGCAGTTTACTGACTCCGTTAGATCTCAGCACAACCAATATTCCAATTGTAATTGCTGCTTGTTGTGTCCGCCACAATATCTGTTAGACTAAAGTGGAGATGTTTATGGCGGGGTGGGAGGTTGAGGCAACTCACCTGGCAGCCAATTTTGCACAGCCAGACAACAGGGCGATTAGAAGAGTGCAGCAGGGCGCGTCCTGCATCAGAGAAACTTTGAAAGCCGGTTTCATGACCGGCCAGGGTACGGTGTGACAGTTGTGTTTGTTTCTCTTGAAGTTACCCGCCCCCTATATATATGAAAGGAAATAAAGTCAAAATAGTTTTAAAAATGTTCTTTATTATTTGTTGCACAATACATTGAGAGAAATCAGAAGGTAGACCGGGGGAGGGAGGGGTATTGGGTTGGGGGGTGGAGGAGGAGGGAAGGACAAATCCAGAAACCAAATCAAAAGTTCACATATGCCAGCTTTCTGCTGCTTGGGCAATCCTCTGGGGTTGAGTGTGTGGGTCCCCGTAGCCTCCCCCCTCATGTTCTTGGGCGTCTGAGTGAGGAGGCTATGGAATTTGGGGAGGGCGGTTATACAGGGGCTGCAGCGGCAGTCTGTGGTCTTGCTGCCTTTCCCGCATTAGATCCACCATACAGCGAAGCATGTCAGTTTGTTCCCCCATGAGCTTGACCATAGCGTCCTGCCTGCTCTCATCGCGTGCATCCCTCTTCTCTTCGAGTTCCTGTAATGCTTTACGGGACTCCACAATTGTTTGCCTCCATGCATTTAGCTGGACCCTATCAGTGCGGGAGGACTCCATGAGCTTGGTGAACATGTCGTTCCAAGTTAGTTTTTTCCGTGATCTCTTGTGATGGTGGACTCTGCATGGTCGCCTGTGATGGTGGACGGTGCTGATGGTCACCTGTGCTGATGGTGACCAAACAGGAAATGAAATTCAAAAGTTCCCGGGGCTTTTCCTGCCCACCTGGCTAGTGCATTGGAGTTGAGAGTGTTGTCCAGAGCGGTCACAAGGGACCATTCTGGGATAGCTCCCGGAGGCCAATAACGTCGAATTGCGTCCACAATACCTTTAACCCGGGATTGCGATCTCAATTTAAGCGCTACTCCACTTGCCGAGGTGGAGTACAGAAATCGGATTAAAGAGCCCTAAACTGTTTAACCCTTTTTTGTCACATGTCACAGAAGTTTAGATACTGTGTGGATTCTCCCATGTTTAATGAGGTGTGATCTCTCTCTGAAACTTTTCCCACAGTCCAAGCACTTATGGGGTCTCTCTCCTGTGTGGATTCTCTGATGTTTAACCAAGACTGATCTCCGTGTGAAACTTTTACCACAGTCCAAGCACTTATGGGGTCTCTCTACTGTGTGGACTGCCTGATGTTCAACAAGGTCTGACCTCCGTTTGAAACTTTTCCCACAGTCCAAGCACTTATGGGGTCTCTCTCCTGTGTGGATTGCCTGATGTTTAACAAGGTCTGACTTCCGTATGAAACATTTCCCACAGTCGAGGCACTTATAGGGTCTCTCTCCTGTGTGGACTGCCTGATGTTCAACAAGGTCTGACCTCCGTATGAAACTTTTCCCACAATCCAAGCACTTATGTGGTCTCTCTCCTGTATGGATTGCCTGATGTTTAGCAAGATCTGACCTCTGTATGAAACTTTTACCACAGTCCAAGCACTTATGCGGTTTCTCTCCTGAGTGAACTATCTGATGTTTAACAAGGTATGACCTCTGTAGGAAACTTTTCCCACAGTCCAAGCATTTATGGGGTCTCTCTCCTGTATGGATTGCCTGATGATTAACAAGGCTTGACCTGTGTATGAAACTTTTTCCACAGCCCAAGCATTTGTGGGATCTCTTTCCTGTGTGGATTGCCTGATGCTTAACAAGCTTTGACCTCCGTATGAAACTTTTCTCACATTCCAAGCACTTGTGGGGTCTCTCTTCTGTGTGGACTGCCTGATGTTCAACAAGGTCTGACCTCCGTTTGAAACTTTTCCCACAGGCCAAGCACTTATGGGGTCTCTGTCCTGTGTGCATTGCCAGATGTTTAACAAGTGCTGACCTCGTTATACATTTTTTCCCACAGTCAAAGCAGTTATGGGGTTTCTCTCCTGTGTGGACTACCTGATGATTAACAAGCTTTGACCTCCGTATGAAACTTTTCCCACAGTCCAAGCACTTATGCGGTCTCTCTCCTGTGTGGATTACCTGATGATTAATAAGGTCTGATCTCCGCTTGAAACTTTTCCCACAGTCCAAGCACATATGGGGTCTCTCTCCTGTGTGGATTACCTGATGATTAAAAAGGTCTGATCTCCGCTTGAAACTTTTCCCACAGTCCAAGCACTTATGGGGGCTCTCTTCTGTATGGATTACCTGATGACTAAAAAGGTAGGACTTGTGTATGAAACTTTGCCCACAGTCTAAGCACTTGTGAGGTCTCTCTCCTGTGTGGATTGCCTGATGTCTAAGAAGGTGAGATCTCTGCTTGAAACTTGTCCCACAGTCCAAGCACTTGTGAGGTCTCTCTCCTGTGTGGATTGCTTGATGTCTAAGAACATGTGACCTCCGCTTGAAACTTTTCCCACAGTCCAAGCACTTATGAGGTCTCTCTCCTCTGTGGATTGCCTGATGCTTAACAAGGTTTGACCTTTGTATGAAACTTTTCCCACAGTCTAAGCACTTATGGGGTCTCTCTTCTGTGTGGCTTTCTTGATCTGAAATTAGTGCTGAGTTAGAGCTGAAACATTTCCTGCACTCGAGGCACTGAATGGGCTTCTCTCCAGTGTGGCTTCTCCCATGGTTATTAAGATCTGAGCGGTTATTGAAGCTTTCCCCACGGTCCAAGCATTGAAGGGGTTTCTCTCCGGTATGGATTGTCTGATGTGTCACAAGCTGTGGTCTCACAATGAATCCTTTCCCACACTGCATGCCGTACCAGGGTGTTTCTTCCTTGCGATTTGTCTGCTGCGCTCTGGGATCGTCGTCTCCTTCCCCACCATTAATAGATTCATCCACTTTCTTCCCTGGGTGGTTTCCCACAAGCCTCTCTGACCTGTGCCAATTTCCCCAAGCTTCTACCTGCTCCCAGCAGTGGGAAAAATTCCCTTCAATTCTTCCCACAGAAGTCCCTTGTGGTTCCACTTCCCCGGGCACTTCCTCATGATGATTCCCCTCCTTGGTCTCACTCCCTCGCTCAGCACCTGCTGGGAGAGAGACAATCCAGACAGGAGTCATTGCTCTGGGGAGAAAGAGGAATAGCACCGAGGGAAAACTCAACACAAAGACTGAGCAATTAGATTCTGCCTCCACATCCCACCCAAACACTCACAGAGAAGGAAACTCCTGCAGCTAACAGTATGGGTGAAATGGCGTGACCGATATCTTCTGACCATAGCCCTGCTCTGGGTAAGATGAGGAAGAACTTAGGGCATTAATCACACCATCTTTTGGGATTCTCTACTTTTTCCTTCATTACCTAGATGGTTTCTGTGTCAGTTCTCACCTGTGTGGGTGCATTTCGGAAGCCTTCTTTCCTCGCAGGCCTGGAGATCGGGCACCCACGGCTCTTCCCCTCGTTCCAGGCGGGAGATCACCTCAGGTTTGGGAATGGGAAATCCTATACAGAGGGTGAAATCAGACCAGATCAGGGTGCGTGGAGCATTGGTGGAGTATTTGTCACAAAGAACATTCCGTGAGTGGAACCTGTCTCTGTGCTCTGCTGGAGGAACGTGGAATCCAAGAGGATGGGAACATGGTCACTGAGCCCCCTCGCATAGCGGAAGTTGTCTGGGGAGGTGAGTTGAATTATTACTACACCCTCACTAGGCGTTCCCAGGATCTCTGAGCTCTGGGGGCCTTGCTGACTCACACACAGCTCTGGACTTAAACCCCTGCCTGTTTCTAAACCTGCAGAGCCCAGAGCCCTCCCCATGGCTGGAGCTATTCCCAAGGAGGGACGTGAACAGGAATTTTGTGTGTCGCCGAGAAACAACACAGACAGGACAATGCTGGATTTATGCCTCTTTTAAAGCTGGAGGGGTGGGGATGGTTTAACTTGTCCATTGGGTTTTGACACCCATGTCCCACTGGAGAGGGCACAGAGATGCAAGTCTTTCTCACAGGGCAGCTGTGCATTATGGAGCCCATTCGCCTCTGATCTAACTGACCAGGGAAGAACCTGACCAGATTCAGACACGCAGACCCCACGGCTTCCAATAACCGAGGGGACGGGAATCCCTTACCCAGCGAGGTCACCGTCTCGTAGTTCTCCTGCATGACGTCCCTGTAGAGGGCTCTCTGACCGGGGTCCAGCAGAGCCCCCTGCCCCTGGGTGAAATACACAGCCACCTCCTCGAAGGTCACCGGCATCTGAAAGAACAAGAGTCCCCCACTCAGCACCTGCTGACCCAGCTACAATCCCAGTAGTCTTATGGGACAAAGGATAAAGAAATGGAACCTTTGGGAGGGCCAGTGTAGCAGAATCCCACCCCCACCCTGCTCAGAGCAGTCAGGAGGCTTCAGGGGGTGCGGAGAAGGTGAGAGCTCCTTGTCCCCCCCAGCACGCGAAGCAGGGCAGGGTCTTCTCATTTCCCACATGGCTGCCAGCCACAGTCTGATGCGGGAAGCAGAGCTGTGGGCTGGCGTCAGGGACAGGAATCCCAACAGCTTCCCTTCGTATTTCACAGCAGCCTCTGACTAATGGGTTCAGGCCCCAGCACTGGGAGCCTGGAAAATGTTCCCAGCCCTGCCGAGGGGGTTGCATCCTGTTTGGGAAATGGGGGACTGTCCTTTCCCCCCTCCTCTGCAAGCAATGGGCCTACTCAGAAAATCAGCAGGTTTATCACACCCTGTCTCCTCCCTCACCCAACCCAGCAGCTCCCTGAAAATCCCCTACCTGAGCTGGCTCCATCACAGCCATTTCCCTTCCCTGTCTCCTGGAAGACGGGAGGATCTGGAGTGAAATGTGGACGTGATTCCTTAGCCTGTCAGGGCGAGAGGGGAGGTTACAGAAGGGACTTCAGTCCATGTCACACCCCGGTTCCCCCCCAGACTCTTCAGTAACCGTCCCAGTAACAGCATCTCTGAGCCAAATGCTAGAAAAAGAGCAGAATCAAAGGGGCCACTTTGGGGGATTGCCCCCATTGCAGTGTAAACCCCTCCCCCTGAGCAACAGCCGGAGCCCTCTGGTGGCAACTCCTGAAGAATGAGCTGCCCTGGACTCCCCTGACAGCTTCCAGGGACTGGCAGGCAGAGGCTGATCCCATTGGCCCATCTGCACTCACCCCCTGCCAGAGCCAGCAGTGACTCTGGTCTGACTCCGGTGTTGCTGAGATCTGAATCCTGCCCGGAAATCAGACCAGGGCCCTGTGCAACCCCGAACACTCAGGACACACAGACCCCACCAGCAGGATGTGTCTGACAATGATACACATGGAGCAGGGTATGTGTGTGTGTGTGTGGGGGGGGGTGTCTGGGTTTTTGCCTTGTAGCTTCTGCGCGCTGAGGGGTTAGTCCCCTGATCCCTCCCAAAGCTGGTTTGACCAGTTCCAGGAGGAGAAGAGCTTCTCTCTGCCCCTCCCGCCTCGTGTCCCATGGGGTGGAGAAGTTGCCTTGGCATCTCCCCCCTTCCCCCACCAGCCTCCCCACACCCTCCTTCCCTCGCAGTGCCCCCCACTCACATCTTCCCCCATTCCAGCCTCGCTCCCCTCAGCCCCACAATCCCCCTGCATCGCCCCATCTTCCCTTCAGTGCACCCCCGCCCTCATCCCAGCCTGCCCCCCGCATCCCCAGCACCCGCCTCCCGCGCCCCCCCCCGCTCTCCCCGCCTGCCCCCACCCCCTGCACCTCTTTATCCTCCTCCCCCTGCAGCCCGGGGGTGATGGGGGGGGCACCGCTCCCTGGGGTGGGGGGATCTCTCTTACCTTCCCTCCGAGCGGGGCCCCCCTGGGGCAGGGGCTGGGCCGGGAAGGGGCCTGGCCGGGCTGGGGGCTCTGCCCTGGGAGAGGCTCCTGGGGAGCAGCGGGAAGGGCCCTGCTGGAGATTCCCCTCTCCCGGCTGCAGCCAGGGCTCCGGGCTCCCAGCACCAGCCGCCGGGGCTCGGGGATCTCGCCAGGAGCCTGGGAGCCAGAGTCACCGCAGCGGCTGCGAGTCACTTCCTGCTGCCGGGACTGAGCCCAGCGATCGCTCCCCCCAGAGCCGCCTCCCAGCTGCTCCTGGGTCCTAGCGATCAACCCATCGCGCTGCAGCATCTCTGTGTCTGGCTCCTGTTCCACGCACAGGCTCTAAGGTCAGAAGCAGGGCCGGCTTTAGGAAGTGCGGGGCCCAATTCGAACAGTTTCGATGGGGCCCCGGCAGGGATGACTAAAAAAAAAAAAAAAAAAACACGAAAAAAAACACGTGGGGCTTGTACTCACCGGGGGGCGCTCCTAGTCTTCGGCGGTGGGTCCTTCACTCGCTCCGGGTCTTTGGCGGCACTGAAGGACCTACTGCCGAAGTGCTGCCGAAGACCCGGAGTGAGTGAAGGACCCGCCGCCGAAGTGCCGCCGAAGACCCGGAGCGCCGCCGGGTGAGTAAAAATTAAAAAGGAGCCTCTAGCCAGGGAAGGGATTCTCAGCCACTTGCCCCCACCCTGGCAGCCCTGCCACTGGGCGCGGGGCCCTCTTAGGCGCGGGGCCCGATTCGGGGGAATTGGTGGAATTGGCCTAAAGCCGGCCCTGGTCAGAAGGGCCCATCATGAGCACCTAGCCCAGGGGTTCTCAGGACCAAATGTGGTGGCCTCAAAGTGTGGCCAGCAACTCTCGCTGGTGGCTGCTCTGACACTTTCCCCTATAATCCTAACTAACTTTAAGAGAAACTAATAAAGATGCACGGAGGTAAGCACTGGGAACAGTCCTACTACTGTGGGGAACTTTTTTGTCTCAATCACCATCCTGATGGAATCAAATGGCAAAAGGATCTGAGTCCTCGCTCCCACTCCCTTTACCCGTAGGCCTGCCTGACTTCAGGGATCCCCCCAATCTTGTTGCGATCACTCAGGACAGAGGCTAGGGTGTCGTATCCCCAGTGTGGGGTGCTCTCTTCACTGCGGACGCTTCCCTGATGTCATCACTCAGCATTGCATAGAACTTAGAACAAATACGATTTATTAAACAGCAAGAAATCAAAAAATTAAGGAAAAAATGGGAAAGGGGAAAGGAAAACATGATGTCATCCCACGCTGCCCAGGGTCCCCCCCTCGCTCTCCCCAGCTGCTCACCACACCCAGCTCCAGACTGCTCCAGACCCAGCTTCCCTCTGCCTCAGTGCTTCTGCTGCTCTGCCTCCAACCCAGCTCTGGCTGCTCCTCTCCCCTTAGCTCTGCCCTTCTCTGGCAGGCAGCTCCAGCTCAGACAAAGGACGGGCTCCAGCCTCCCTTATTGGCCTGCCTGCCTATCCTGTCAACGAGCCTGACCTAGAGCCTTGGCCTCTCTCCATTCGCCCTGGGGACTAGTCTCAAGGTCTTTATTTCTCATTGCCCTTTCCTGTCTTTTGGTACTAGGAGAGGGCCAACCAAAAAACCACCACTTAGGCCCCGTCTACACTGGCAAGTTTCTGCGCAGTAAAGCAGCTTTCTGCGCTGTAACTCCCGAGGTGCACACGCTGCCAAGCCACTTAGTGCGCAGAAACTGCACAATTGTAGCGCTCTAAAAAAGCCACCTCGATGAGAGGCATAGAGCTTTCTGCACCGCGGCTACAGCACCGCGGTGCCACCAGTGTAGACACCGTGGTGATTACAGTGCTGCGATTGGCCTCCGGGAGGTGTCCCACAATGCCTGTTCTCACCTCTCTGGCCATTGGTTTGAACTCTACCGCCCTGCCCTCAGATGACCAACCGTCAGCCCCACCCCAGACATTCCTTCGGAATTTTGAAAGTCCCCTTCCTGTTTGCTCGGTGATGCGTGCAGTGGTCTCAGCGCTTCTTTCCAGGTGGCCACGCCTGCTCTACGCACCAGGCCATCCCCCGTTTGCAGTAATGCCAAGCTGCTGAGCCTCATCGGTATTTCGGGAGAGGAAGCTGTCCAGTCCCAGCTGCGCTCCAGCCATCAGAATTTTGATACCTACGGACAGATTTCTAGATGCATGACAGAAAAAGGCCATGACCGGGACACGTTGCAGTGCAGGGTCAGAGTGAAGGAGCTGCGGAACGCCTACCACAAGGTGCGGGAGGCAAACCACCGCTCCGGTGCTTCGCCCACAAGCTGCCGGTTCTACAAAGAGCTTGATGTGATACTCGGTGGTGACCCCCACCTCCACTGCGAAGTCCCCTGTAGATACTTCGTTGGCTTCGTTGCCAGTCGAGAGTGGACCGAGCCAGGAGCAGGCAATCTTGGGTGAAGAGGTGGAGTGGGAACGAGAGGCAGAGGATGACTCAGAGGCCAGAGATGCAGGCAGTCCGGAGCTCTTTTTGTAGAGCTGAAGAATGAAAGTGTTTGTTTGTTTGTTTGTTTGAAATTACTATTATTATTAAGACTCCATATTGTAACCAAAACTCCATTTTGAAATGCTTACTCCATTTTGCAAAACCCTGCTGTAACCTTATTAACATAGTTCAGATGGGTGAATGAGGTATGCATGGATAATGGTGTGACGTCGCACCCCATAAGGCTTTATGGAAATATGCTTATGAATGTATATATGACATAACTGGAATATGTTTTATGCTACATATGCCATGTAACATATCTCTGTAAAGGTTATGATCTACTGAATCTATTCATCCTATTCGTATGCATGTGTCATTTTTGTGTTCGAAGTTATGAATATTGGCTGTGTACTTCCTTGATTTCTAAGTAGCCTTAGGAAAGCATTTGGTCAGCTACCTGAGAAAGGAATGGGCAAGTTAAGTGCCCAGTCAAGAATCACGTAATGGACAATGGATCTTGGAAGGCTGAAATCCACATAAGAAATCTACATGGAGATAGCATGGGGGCAATGGCTGTGGCCCGCAAAAACTGAGTCATGCATGGACATGTGACTTGCCCGTGTGACTCCAAAACTCCATCTTGTAGCTGAAATTCTACACAGGGGGAGGGAGGGGTATCCACCCCCATGAGAAAGTCTATTTAAACCCCTAGGAGACCTCTCCATTTTCTCTTCAGCTGGCTCAAGAATACCTGAGAGAAACTGGAACAAAGGACAGTAACTACAGGGGGTGAGTGATTGCTGGACCCAGACTAGAAAGAGATTAGTCTGTAAGAGGAAGCTTACTGGA